TAAAAAGGAGCAGCCCAACTGGATCTCATATTATTCTTGGTACTTTGGTCATGAATGAGTAAATATGTAATTTTCATTTAGGCCCGGCAAAGAATAGACGAGCTTATAGACAGCGTCCTTCAGCGAGATAATGACGGAGGTGGCGGTCGCGGTGGACGAGGTGGCGGTCGAGGTGGTGGTCGAGGTGGTCATCACGGAGGTGGCGACCGGTTCGACAGAAATCGAAATGGTGGTGGTGGTGATTTCGGCGGTGGCGGAAATCAGTGGGAGGATAGAAGGGGCGGTCATCAGGGAGGTCACCAGGACATGGTTTCCTTCACTGTACCTGCTAGCAAGTGTGGTGTGATCATCGGCAGAGGTGAGTAACGAAATTTTGAATTATTTCGGATTTGTCTAAGAAACGATTGTACTAAAGGGTATAGAAAAGTCCATTGAAAAATTGAAATTTGATTGAGATATCAGTTTACTTAAGAGCAGCAAGTTTCCTAAAATTAACTTGCGACTCCCGGAACTGGCAATATTTATAATTTTATAAAGTTGATCTTTAGACGGGTAGTGGTGCTTCCTTATGCTTTGACTATCGTATACTCAAACAAAATAGTATTTGAATCGATTAAATATAAATATTAAAGGAAAAAATTGGTAACATGAGTAAATAATTACTTGCTGGCAAGTCGGCCCAGCAAGAACAAATCTTGTGTTGAAGTCTCCGACAAAATCGATGTGTGACATATATAATTCAATTTATAATCATTGTGTAACAATATTTTTCTACAAAACATTGAATCTTGGTAACAGTTCATTGAATATTGTAGGAGGCGAAACCATCAAGCAAATCAATCAACAGTCCGGAGCTTATTGCGAGTTGGACAGGAGGCAACAGAATCCAAACGCAAGTGAAAAAACGTTTACCATCAAGGGTAGCCCCGATCAGATTGAAACTGCAAAAAGTATAATAAGTGACAAAGTACAATTACCTTTGAATTTTGTGTCGGCTGGAGGACCACAAATGTCCAGCAATATGCCTACTGTAAGTGCCTAATATTAAACATCTGGAAACTCTGCATTCTTTTTCGAAATTTTAAGTATTTGTAATATTTTCAAGTTTCAACACAGTCGTTTGTTTATAGGCTTATCCTGGTATGGCTCCACAGGGTTACAACCCTCAGAGCAGTTGGGGTGTTCCAGCTGGAGGTTACCAGCAACAGCAGCAGTGGGGTAGTCAACCTCAAGGTACTGAAGCTCCTCCAGCTCAACCCAATCCAGTGCAAGTGAATTCTAGTACGGGACAACCTGATTATTCATTACAGTGGGCTGAATATTACAGATCGTTGGGTGAGCATAAAATCTGTTTGTATTTGAATATTTTGAATAGTGGCATAATTTTTATAGCAGAAACAAAAAAATCTTTGTCGAATGATGTTCCTCAGTATTTTTATTTATCGTCCTAAGTTCCTTTTTATTCTTCTGTTCAAATATATTTATTCATCAATGGGAAAACATCAATTTTGACAAGATTTGATACAGAGACGATAAAACAGTTGCAAG